CTATTAGTGAAACATATATAGACGACCATTAATAATAATAAAAAAAAGGACCGATTTAGTTGTAAACTCACAACAATTTGAAGAAGAGAAACGTAGTTTCCATGGCGATTTGCTATTTGAATACGGTCTTTTTCTTCCATGGAAGTATCATGGGCCAAGATATCCCATTGGTTTCTGAAGTTTTGGTTGCTGAGGAAATGAAACATTTTCTGTTGGCTAACTGGAAACCGAACAGAAGTGGCTGCACTCAGCACAACCCCAGTCAGCTCACCGGGCTCATTCACCTTCTTTCGGATCACTAATCTCATGTTTTGTCTCTCATTTTCCACTTGAATACTCTCCCACTTGCTCACTGAAGAGTCACTAATACCTAAATGGTAGTTAAGAGTCATACGTTGCGCGAGCTTCACTATTTCAGCTCTACCCTTCGCAGACATTCCTATATCGAAAACATATATCACAATCATTAGCAAGACAAATCCAAAAATAACAGAGATCTGAAGCGACATTAAAAAATGCTTCTATTATTCTAGTTAGTTATGTCAAATATTAACATCAAACTAACTTTTTATCTTAATAATTGATTTTAAGTTTCTACATAGAGTTGTAGGGAAAAACAAATTGTCATAAAACTATTTGTAAAAGACTAAAAGTTAATACTTATGTTGTGAGGAATATTTGATATAGTTGTATTAGTATAGCTTAAAAAAACAAGTGAAACAAATTTTAATATTGCTTTGGATATCGTTATTTTTGGACTGATTTTCACCAATTTAACTTTAAGTTGTCAAAGCGATGTATTGACAAACGGTGATTCTCTTACACTTCTCAAATTTCAAGAGATGGCTTTAAATTAGAGTCACCTGAAAAGCCTTGAGTCATGTTAAGATTCCACAAGGTCGAGAGGATTTGGCAGTGTCTCTGCAGCGTTTTAAGCCACCTCTTTGCGCCTAGCCCGATCCCAGAGCCAATCAAAGGCTGGTAGAGTTGGTGGATGTGACTCTCATCATATGCCATTTGCTCAATCCATGTAACCTATTAATTTAAATTTCGATGTGTTAGAAATGTGTTCAGTCGAAATGAATATATATCTAATGTTTGCGAGTACGAACGGATCCAATATGGAATTATACAATCACCGGACTAATTGTTTACTGCGATAAGAAAAAGAAATATGAATACTACCAACGGTGATTAAGGAGTATACCGCTTTAATGGTTACCAGTCACATAAACTCCAACCATTTAGTTAGAGGAAAAAGGAGATTCAATGATAAACCTTCACTATCTTTTACCAATTTTAGCTATTCCTCCATCTCTTATCTTTATTTTTGAATGGAAACTCAAAAACTTTGACAAAGCATGAAAAGTGGGGCTAAGCTCTCTAAACTCGATACAAAAACTATACCATGCAACCAAATGTAAACCACGAAATTGGATTAAAATAGGATTCAGAAGTAACCATGGAGTAATCATTGCCCATGTCCTTTATGATAAGGCCTGAAGGTAGGCGTGCAGAACCACCATAAGACAGCAAATTCCGATTTCGGTTAGTAGGAGTAACGTCAACCACCACCCATACGCCTTTTTGGAGTAGCTTGCAATATCTAAGAAATTTTACTTCTCTCTTTGGTACCAATGGAGAAGGGACAATAAATTCTGCTTTAATCTGCCCAAATATAGGACCGACAATTTGAAGATATTTCATTGTTTCGACTCCTCTTTGATTATCAACAAATTTAATTAGATGACTAAGAAATATACACACCAGTTGAAGTGAGTCATTTCTTGCTCCACTAGGACCGGTAGATATCACTTTACGGCTGGTTGCCACATGAACAATAGGTGCAAACACATCAACCCATTTGTTCTGTAATATTAAAACCAAAACGAAATTAAAATTACTCAAATTATGCAACAATTAGTTAAAGCTATAAAATTAGAGTTGGATTTTCAGAGATATCTTGAATGTTTTTTGTCACTAAATAAAGATGTATGGTGAGAGGTTATTACCAAGTCCATAAGAGTTTTGACAAGAGCCAAACTAGTCATGAGAACTGAACCCGTGTCTCTAGATGACTCAATAACACACCCGGGAGGTTTTATGCCATTGTTGAAAACACTTTTATACTCCTCATAGTTCAATGTTTCTCTATTAGAGCCTGGATTTATTCTCCAGAACGGACTGTCCGATTGTCCCAACATAACCAACTCTTTCATAGCCGCTTTAGCAAGATCCAATAGCTTTGATGTCAGGTTCATCATCGAACTTCCACCACCCGAGTCAAGTTCTAGTGGTGCATTAGAGATCATTGAGGAAGAAGAAGGTTGCACCGCGGATGGACCGGCCGGCAATTGAATAGGCCCGCAAAGGATTCTGTTAAGCTGGTCTATCTCCTGCTTCAGTTTAGCATTCTCAACCTTAAGCTGTTGCACCTCAATGCCAATCTCACAGAAATAAGTTGGCATATTACAAATGTTGCACAGATTACGCACTCTTGCTTCTCTTGCTTCTTTGAGCTGTTCTTGATCTCGTAGCAATCTCTCATGCTCTTGTCTGAGAGTTACATTGTCATGGCTGTCCCGGTGCATCTGCTTACACAAAAGCACAACTATAATCAAAGCTGGTATTGTTGAGAATGTGTGAGAGGTGAAAAGATAACAAACAAAAACAAAAAATTAGGACACAAATGGTTTGCGAATGGTTACTCCGTATGCCGAGGAGAGGATTTTAGTACAAAAATGCACTGCCGTATTTTGTATGATCCCCTCTGTTCCATGACATACGAGATAACCATTCGGAGCCTATCTTTTTAAGATGGAGGCAGACATATAATGGTCCATTATACGATTCAAAAAAAAGAAAGCTACAAGCATAAGTATATGTATTGTATTTTTGGTACCCTCTCTTGGGTTCTCCTGTTCTGAAACCAATACTTGATTTGCCTATCCTCCAAATTCACCCTTTGAGCAAGTTCGGACCTTTGATTCTTATTAGGACGAGGAGTACACTCTTTGAAGAAACTACAGTGAGAAAAACAGCAAAACAAAGTAAAGAAAAAAACCACAAAAACTCAAAAATCAAATAATTAAATAGGAAATTGCATGGTCAAAGGAAGAAGCTGAACAAACGTTTCGAGTTCTTGAGTCTGTTGAGTAGTGTGCCTTTGGAATCTCTTTATCCTTCGACCAACATGCTCATCATCACAAGACATAGAACCACTGTTGTCACTCTCATCATCTTTAGCTCTTTCCATAGAGCTTAGATTGAGAATGTCATTATCACCTTCTCCATCACTCATTTTTCCTATCTACAACAAACCAGATATTGCATAGTACTGTTAGTAATATTACTTTTTCAACAAGTTTCAGACTTCTCAATCAATACTGCACATATAATGTTTTGACCACACAAATTTAAAGTTGCTAACTTTCTAGGCTTTAGTGTATATATATCTTCGAAGGTATAAAATTGAAGGAACAAGACAAGAGTATCCCGAAAATTGGGGTTGTTTATTTGACCTTTTAACCCAATTTCTTCAAAGGAAATACTTCACAAACAAGACGAAGCAAATTCTTATAAGAAAAACAAAAAAGAGGAAGCAAACAAATCAGGATTCCTAATCTTTCTTTGAACCAATAAAGAGAAGGACCAAATTTTCATTCTTTTATATTGTCAATATCCCATATATTGACAAATCAGAACAAAGAGAGCAGATAGAAGGCTATCAACTTTATATTATTCTGTTGATAACTAATCACCCTCAGCCAAAAACCTGACTAATCAACGATACACACGTGGAAAACTAGATATTTTTACCGAAAACCAGACTAATCAACGATACACACGTGGAAAACTAGATATTCTTACCACTTAAAGATGGATATTATCAACTTTTCCACAGCTGGAATCACTCAACTGTAAAATGAAATCAATAATTTCCTTACCAATCAAATGATTAAACTGAAACTCTCCACAAATGATTTTATTTAGTATTTATCTCGTCGCAATGATTATTTAAAACATGATATAACTAATTAGTTGAGCCAGAAATCAGACTAATCACCGATGCACACGTGGAAAACTAGATATCCTTACCAATTAACATGGATATTAACAGTTTTTTCAAAGCCGAAAACAGTTCGAGCACTGTAAACACTAAAGAGTTGACTCCTCACAAATTTAATAATTATTGGTTACCGTAAAATGAAATAAATATTTTCTTTACTAAAACATGATATAACTAATTAKTTGAGCCRRAAAYCAGACTAATCAYCGATGCACACGTGGAAAACTAGATATCCTTACCAATTAAMMTKGATATTAACARTTTTTYCAAAGCCGAAAACAGTCCGAACACAGTAAACACTAAAGAGTTGACTCCTCACAAATTTAATAATTATTGGTTACCGTATATTTCATTTACAAAATTCAAATGAAGAAACTGAAATCATTCACGGATGATTTTATTTAGTATTTCTCTTGTCGCAACGGAGATCTAGGACATGACATAAGATTGAAGATTACTACGTAACAAAAAGTGTAGATTTGGCAGAATCTATCTAACAGACGTGTGTGTGCATCTAAAATGATAAAACAATTCTCTCTTTAAACAAACAAAAAAACACAAGAATTAACGACTCTTCCGCCAGATGATCGGGAATCATCAAGTGAATTTTATTTCTTACAGCATGAAAAAGTATATATGCGTATACTGTACCTATAGAAATAAAATCAGAACCCTTTTCTCGTTTTTTCTTTGTGGTGTTTTTTAGCCTTCTCTCTGGTTTAAGGCCTATTTATTATTTATAATCGTGGAGCAAGAAGTGAAAGGCATAGGCGAAAAGAGAAAGCCGTAGGACCCACACTATCCAGAAATTGTAGACCACGCTAATGGCCTCGCGAGTCTTAACCACGTGCGATAGAAACAAGACTAAAGTGGTGTCTTCACTAATGAAAAAAAGTTGG